ACTGCGTAGTGTCTTTGCATTTGAATAAGCTCTGACATAAAAAATTAGTGATGACTTACCAGCTGCCTTTGCAAGATTTGAAATAATTTCTCTTCCTTCAACACGTGCGTAATAATCTTCATCAATCAACAACGGCTCAATAACGACCAATATTTTATGGACATACGGTCGAACGAGATCATCAAGCTTGTACAAGACGCGATCGATCACCTAGAAATTTCCAAGTAAAACACTGCCACATATCACATATGAAGAAATTCAAAAAGAACTGTCGAATACTAGCAACTGTTAATTAAACTAGATAAGACATTAATAGTACGAACCTTCACCATCAAATGCCTTTCCTGATCTTCTAGTGTAGGTGACATTAAAAGAGGTAATATTTGATTAAAAAGGGCTCCAGCTCCAAAACGTCTCGCATTTTCAGTAATCTTACGCAGTCCAGATTTTCGTTGTGGAGGTGTCCCATTCTTGATTTTTAAAAGATAAGTCATAATTTCACGCTCAATCAACTCTTCTTTGCTCAATGTACTCTCGTCTACTTCCATTAAGAGTTTATCAAAATATTGAATATCTTCCGGCTTCAGTGGAGGCAATTCTGCATTTTTTGGTTGGGTATCGATCAATCCAGCAACACCTGGAAGAGGAATCTTTTCAGCCTATAATTTCAAGTTTCCTCACTTCCTAAGCAAATGAAACTGTATAAAACTGATCTATTAGTATATCGAAAATTTCTGATTTATAGAAAACACAAAAGAAAAAGTCAAATTTTTGAAAAGTCACAATGTTACAAGATATAAACAACACCTTTGTCGGCCAAACCAGGTCGTTCAGGTGTTCCTTGCATGATGAATCCCATTGGTGTTCCTGTTGCCCCCATCGGAGTAGGCGTTGCTAAAAGCTTACGACCTGGGGTTCGAAGTGGTATGTAGCCATTAGGTGGTGGCAACACCTTATATCCTGGTGGGAACAATGCATCTAATTCTTCGTCGGATAAAGGCCTTAAATTACTTTTCCTTCACATACAAAAATGATAAAGATTTTCCAATTCACAGTAAAATCCTAAATATTACAAATTAAATGTTAAATGAGAATTGTGATTACTAATTTGTTACTTGCTGATCCTAGCTACTTCATCAGTAAAACAAGCCTTCAGCTCTACTTCGCAACGGATTTCTTTAGATCCGACTAGAAGTTAAACGGTCATAAGGAATTTGCTGCGTATATTTTGTTTCAGTCATCACCAAAGCGAATCCAACCATCTTTCCTTTTCAACGAACAAAATATCTCAAATATGAAATGATTACCTATTCCTTTCATCTATCTCTCTTTCCCATTTGAAAAGTGCCATCTGATCAGGTGTCATCGGTACCATTGGCATTATTGGAGTTTTAAGTCCCATTGCAGGCGTACCAACAGGTGTTGTTCCACCAGGTGTCATCATGGATGGTGTCATTCCTGCTCCGCTTGGTGTAAAACCTGATGGTGTTGTACCGCCAGCCATATGTGTACTTGATGGTGTTGCAGCTGCAGCAACCGGTGTGGCAGCAGAAGGAGTTAAGTCCCAACGTGACCGGCGTTTAGATTCACTTGGCGTTTCCTCAATCTGTAAACATTACATGTAACATTCCTGAATACAACAAAATTCTAACATTAGAGGGAATATAGGATGATCGTGAGAGATGAACCAAAACAGTGATATCAACAAAGAGTGGATTGATGTTGTATTAAAAAGCTACCTTGACATCTTCAAATGCGCGAGCGTCTCGAGGAGTCTCCGCTCCCCAACCTGGAGTCATTCCCTCTCTTGCCGACGGAGTCATCCCATCACGCACAGATTCTACAAGTTATATTTCTCTCTTAGGTTTCCAAACAAAATGGTATGTTCTTACAAATTTAAATGAAATTATTCGTGTCAAGATAAGAACTGTAAAGTAAGAGACCGTGTGGAGTTTCATCCCAACGATTTCGACGTGGAGTCTGCGTTGATGGTGTCGCATCCCACGCTTTTGCTCCAGAAGTAGGAGTTGCGTCGACACCTGCCGCATGAGCTGGTGTTTCATCCCAGCGTGCAACACGTGGAGTTGCAACCTAAAATAATTCATTACCTTACCGATATTTACCAACGTACAACATCATTAACTTGAATGATTTGTTAATGCTTACTTCTGCTGCTGCTGCAGATATATTCGATGTAAGAGTCAAACGCTTCCGCTGCGTGGACCCTGGTGTCTGAGAAGGTGTTAGGGCTCCTGCACCAAGAGCTTCAATTTTTGGTGTCTCATCCCAACGTCCTCTCTTCTGCGTTGGAGCGGTTGGCTTCGTAATTTTCAATTCACCAGATTTCGCCTTGCTGGTCAATTCCTTCTCCACCTTATCCTGCAACATATCGCATTTTAGAAATTTTGGTGCATGTTTATAATAAATTACGATAGATATATTTCCGAATAAACAATAAATTTCCCGTTTTTAACTTCAATAGCTCTTTTTTATACTTCAATTTAATAACAAACCGTTTCTTCACGTAACATTTGTTCCTTCATGATCTGCGCATAAGAACGATCCCGAATATCAGGTGTCTGATCAGCTAAAAATAGCCACAAATAAGTAAAAAAGAAAAATAGGTAAACAACAAAAAAAATTGATGGGAATCACTTATCGCTTTATTTTTGAGAGATTACTGGAAAAAAAAAACCGAAAAATCAAATTCAAGGTGAGTTAATTGCAAAAGTCACAAACCAAACATATCTGCTCGTTCAGGAGAAATTTGTCGTTGACGTGCTCTAGCTTGGTAATTACTTTGCCGCTCAGCAATTGTCTTGGTTCTCGTTTCCGCAAAAGGGTCATCTCCCTGAATGGAGACAGAAAGAAAAAAACATACAAAAACAGAGCAATCATAAGCATATCACAAATCACAAAGAACAGTACCTGTCCATGTCTTGCAGCTTCCTCTATAAAGCGCTTCGGAGCTGAATAGGCTGCTTTAGCAGCAGCCATCGGGCCAACCAGTTCATCTTCCGCATCCTCCTCCTCATCACCAGCATTTATTGATGTTAAGTAATCATTTTTACGCTGTCCTCGAACACTTCCATATACGTCCTGAAAACTACATTGGTTGATCGTGTTAATGACATAGCTGTTTATCGAAGACGAAAAAGGTTTATAACTAAAATCTGTGGACAGCTAATAAAATTATCCTAATATATTTTTGAAGAACTCATAAAAATAACTTACCGTATCATAACCACCCGCTGATCCAAATGCGATTTTGTCAAAGTTATTTCCATTTCCCAGTGCATTTTCACTGTTTTCATTACCATCTTCAAGGTGTCGTTTCCTTGTCACAATTTGCGTTTCGACACCTGCAAGCTCGAAGCTACTTTAAATTTAAATATCAATCCTATCATAATTCGAGTTGAAGAATCATTCAAAAAATGCACAGACGTAAGCAATTCAAAATTTTCCTTATCGTCCGTCTTAAGATCACTTTAGCAAAGATACCAAAGGAAAATATAGTAGTAAAGAAGTTAGCGTACTACTACTATCAATTTTGCTCATGATAAAGACAATATTGATGTTTTCCATGTTTTCCGTTATAGCGTTCCAAATTTACATAAAAAGATAGCTCAAAAAAAAAAAAAAAACTTTACTAGGGTAACAAACTGGCAACAAAAAAAAAAGGTTTAAGACAAACAATAACTCCCTTACGGTCAATGTTTTGTGCAAATTCTAACTCAGATTTAAAATGATTAATAAATCCTAGTCATTACTATGACCGTAAGCTGACTAGGATAAAGTTATGATTGAATCACAAACCAAATCCTTTCTAGAATTTGTTTCACAAATAAATTAACCTTTGTTGGACATTCCGCAGAAATCCCTTAAATCTTATCAACACAATTTTCGTTTTTCTGGATTAATATTTCTTTTTCCTGCAAAGTGAATGAATCATGAATTGATTGAAAATTTTCATGGTACAGTTTTAGAATGTTGATATCATTCATATTTTCGCTGATCATTACGACCGACAATTCAGGAAACTGAGAAATAAGTGACAGAGAAAGAAGATAGCAAAAGACTGCAAAGCGCTAACATTTTGCCTACGTGAGACGCGTTAATTTACGTGAAATGCATTAACATACGCCACTCTCTACCTAACAAACTTGCATTCCATTTCCTCTATATACACACACGTAAAACTCGGAAGTTCACTGCATGCAATCAATCCGCCACGCACTCGAAACACGCAGACGAATTTACCGTCAGAGTATGAGAGCCTGCCAAAATTCATTTGCGCTTTACTACGCATACCGCAAGAAAGACTTCCCTCTCAGACACTACTGAACTATTGCAGCTTAAACTAAAGGTCACACGGCCACCCTACCAAAGCCATTTGATTACTGATTGCGATTTTCAGTGCATGAGGTCATCTTACCGTACGATAATATGATACATTGCAACCATAAAAGTGGCAGATACAAATGGAAAGATAATGTCGCGTTTCTGGACCAAAAATTCAAGATCAGGAATCCTGCTTATATGATTTATATCTTCTTTATATTTTACCATACTTTCTCGGTATTGATTTTTCATTTATTCAAACTTTAACAGAGGCACAGAGGTACTCTATTCCACACATTCATTCCATTCGTACTTTTTTCGCTCCTTTCTTTCCAACTATTTTAAATTCTCAAAACAAGCCATCTTATTCTAACACAATGAATAAGCATGACAGCACAGAACACGAGCTCTTTCCAGTAATCGATCCGTGAATCAAAAACAATCTTTGAAATATAGACATCATTTCTGATAAGGACTGGATCATAAAAGAATGAAGTATGAAGTAAATTACCTGTTAACAACAGTGTAAACAAGAACTGATATATTGGAAAACTATTTAATTTGTATTCAAACAGTAATGACAAACTTTGGTACCAAATGAAAATAATGCTGTAAAAGATACAACAATAACATAATGATAACAGTTACTAAATAATTCTCTAAGACGAAACATTATCACCTTGAAGTTCTGAAACTATTTGATCAAGATCTTCTTTTTTTGGTAGCCGTAATAAATACGTTGATGGTGACCCATTTGATATACAATTTATCTAAAAATATTTTTTGAGAAAATCCAAATGCTTCCTCTTACTAACTTCATTTTATCTTAAATGCGAGATATGAAATTCAACAGAGGATTTCATACGGAAGCAGAAGAATTTATTATCTCAAGGTATTCATAACAGAAAGCTTTATACTTCTTATGATATAATATTGTCTACTTTTTAAAGCACAAACTCCATGTTCATTTAACATTTTCCCTTCTTGCTGAAATCATACTTAAGCATGAAAATGTTCATAGAACTCTTTGCAGCAATGCTTTCTTTCGTATTTGGCAAAATCCTTTCTTCAATAAAAAAAATTTAATTCCAAAAACGAAAGACAAATGGTCTTGAAGACATACCCTTAATTTGACGTCCTCAACGACCACATGTTTCATAGATTCATCGATATACGAATTTACCCACACAGTACCTGCAAAAACAATTGAAAATAAATAATTCATCATAGGTATCTTTATATGGTTCACACACCTCTCAACCTTCCACTTTGAGAGCTCAAGCAATGATTATTATCATTCCATCTAATTTACATGCTAAATACATTGTTGTGTTTCTGCTGTCAAGTCGGACTTCTCATGATTATTATGAACAAACTCTCACTATATATTTTGCTATTATTAATATATGCAAAATTTTCGTTATTGTTATCATTTCTTACAGTTAAAGAGAAAACCATTCTCGTACATGATCTACAAACATTTAAATAAAATAGTTACTAATAAATTTACCAGTGGTAGTGGCAGCACGGATGAGTAGAATTTTCTTTGCACCATCGGTTTCATCGGTTTTGATATGAAGCTGTCCAATTCCAAGTTTTTCATACTCCGTTCCTTTCAGCACAAATACCGAACATCTACAATACATACATGCGTACGGAACGCCTTAGATGGCTATTACACTCATTTGGATGCACTTACTTGGACGAGAATATCGCTTTCGGTTCTTCCGCAAGCACAGTTTCTGGTTTTGGTGGAACATATTCACTTTCTTCACCTAGAAAACTGTACTGGATGAATGTTTCATTTTGAGTCATACCAAGAAAAGATAAGCAGTCACTGATTACCCACCTTCATTATCTGGTTCTGACTGAACAGGGGGTGGCGCACCAAATTTAAATTCTGAAAATAAATAGATTGGGAATAAAACCGAAAAAATATGTAAACGAAGTAAAGAATCAAAATAATATAATCTTATAAAACCAGAAAAAAATTTTATCCTAAAGTTCAATGAACTAACATTTCAAACACAGCAATATTCTTAAACAGTTGGAAAATCATGATGTAAAGATAACCTAATTTAGTTTTCGAAGAATTGGAGTAATCACAATTTCCTTCAGTAACAACCGGTTTCAAGAATGAGAATGCTGGAGTTACATGAGATTTGTCAGCTAATTCCTTATTTAGTTCTCTGTAACATTTGAATGAGGGTATGGAAACTGTCAGTACTAAGATTATGATATTAACCAAACTATCAAACTGATACTATCACACCATTCTTTTTCCAGTTTTAACAAAGGTCAATTTTGCACTTATCAACCTGAAGCATAAGTTTTGGGCAATCAAAAACTTTATAATAAGCCCAAAATTATCCATAACAACTAAGATGCTTACTTTTTATCATCGCCTTTCTCAATTAATCCTTTTTCGGAGGGTGATTTGGAGAAAACAAAATTTTGTGGATTTTTTAGTGGCTCATTTTTCTTTAAATCTTTTTGGCCAAATAAAAACAAAGGAATTTTGTTGTTGGTGTCTGTTTCTTCAACGTCATCTATATTTTTTTTCTGGAAACCTTCTTTTTCTGTTTCTGCTTTCGAATCATTCCTGCTATCAGAGCTTCTTTTTAAAATACTTTTGGGAATCGGGCTATTGGAAGGTAGCGACAGCGGAGACGACTGCGAAATTTGACTATGAGTTGTTTCGAAATGGCATTTTTTCGAACTTGCTGAACGCTGTGAAGTCGGGACGTTCTAAAAATTCTGAATTACAACAATAAATCTTTGACAACATTTATTTCAAATTATAATTACTTCTAACGCCTATATATTGTTGACAAAAAGGGAACTAATGAATAACAGAATCATTCCCGTATTCTTAGCGTGAAAGTGAAGTAACTTCTATTTCTCATATTGTTCAGAGATAATGGAAACTTTTCCATGGAAAAGTTTCTCTTTTATTTAAATCTGCTAGACTAAGAATAATTCATATAACTGTGAGAAAAAAAGTAGTAAAATCACTGAAAGAAGTCACAAACAATTGTACCAAGACTTACATGATTTGAAATAATTACTTCCTCATCATCTCCTTCAGGACCACCTTTTTTTGCCCTCTTCCTTCCTCGCTTTTCTAAAATTTAATAAAATGAAGCAGTAAACATAAATTATTAACTATAAAACAACTGTAAACAAACTGAAAACCGTCATCCCATACACAAGAAATGTGGAAGCTATCTTACTAAAGCTAAAGCTATGACTAAAATAGTTACAAACTTGATCGAAGAACAGTGGAAAACGAAAAAAAAAAGTAATAGAATATCTAAAAAATGTAACATTCTGGCAAACCATATCCAAATTATCTTCGTCTAAAAAGATATCTAAAAAACTGGATAATTTAACATCAAAAATATTAACAATAGAACATTTTAACTCTGCAGTATCACTTTAAAGAAAAAAAAAGGCTATTTTAAATATGTTCAGATTTTGAAGTATAAAACAGCAATTAAAGAACCTGTAAAAACGTTTACAAGTAGACATCGAGAACGAAAAGCAGTTTTAAGAAGCTTGTTTTTCAGTTTAAAAAACTAAAAGACAAATGTTTACCTGATCCAGATGATGATGCTGTAGATACGTCCAATGAAAATTTTGAAACATTGGCCGAATTTGTAGTGTTACTAAATAATGTTATCGCACTGGATACAGATTTTTCTTGCATAGGACTAGAGTTCATCTCCATTCCACTTCCATTGTCCAGGTCTTTTTCTGATGGATTTGTTTCCGATAAATCATTGATAACTTCATTTTTTTTACCACTATCGGTAGGCGCGTTATCATCCCCATTAGGCATATTCCCATAAGTTCGATCCAGTTCTTCGACATGTTTCAGATAATCACGAACGCAAGGTGACTGAAAACCAATAAGTTCATTTTATCTATCCAATGAACGTTAAATAAAATGAACCTCGGTTTACTTATTCTTTTAATTTGAAAGAATAATTCAAAGATTTGTTTTAGAAAAATACATAAATTTTTTTGACCAAAAGAAGAAAGTAATAACCAAATCTGCATCAGGCATTTCTTTAACGGAACATTGAATGAAATACAGAAATGTTTTATTAAGAACAGCCATTTTTTCGAGGAATAGCTTTTCTGCTTCAGTGTGCTTCATTTTTTGCCAATTGCTTAAATACATTAAAAGTAATCCTGAAAATACTGCTATACATCAGTAACCAAAGAAAAAAAATATACTAAGCAGATATAAACACGGATTAAGAGAAGCTTTAAATTAAATTTGAAAAATAAAAAGAATCCCTTAATATTTTGGTTATCATGGAACAACTAAGAAATTTCACAAAACTAAACTCCACTCTTCAAAAAAAAAAAATAATAAACATTAGAAATAGACTTATATTTGAAATAAAGAATTTATGATTTTACAATCGGTGAGATTATTAACTTTCACACTGCGTCTGTATTCAAGAAATCCTAAACAACGTTATTCTTTGATTTTATAAATTGTCATCTGAGTAAAAGAAATAGTTGCATATCAAATGTATAAAAAGACAATAAGCAAATGATAACAACAACCTCAAAAAATACGTCAAAAAATGACGCAATTCACGTGGAAAATGAAACCCCAGATGGTTTCAACGTGCAATTATACATGAAAGGTTTGGTGTGACGTTATGAAAATTGGAATCTCACTACAACAAAATATTTTGATAGTTGTAATGTTTGTTAATGCGAGAGTGAGTTCATTGTTTTAATGATTTGTTCTTGTTCATTTATTTTCGATTAAATGTATTTGCTTACTTATCATTAACTGTACTTTCATTTAAACTTTTTTAGTTTCCAAATGTCCTTTTTTTTAAAAAAAAAAATGTTTTCAATTTATGGCAATTCATTTTTCTCTTTCTTTTTTCTTGCAAATTTTTTTCTTTCTAAATACTTTTTTGTTATGCAACTAATTGATTAAGAGAAATAAAAATCTTAATATATGATTTATACCTTGAATTGAGAAAATATTTTAAATCAAAAATGATTCTGTGATAAATTTTGTAATTGCTCGAATGTTATCATACTTAATTGTATATGCAACATATTATACATGGTCTAATTCAAATAGTTAAAATATTTCGACATTTTATGCAAACATCAATTACAAAACAACATTGACCGGAATGGTGACACAAATGTTACAGTACAACTCGACTTGGTGACAGAAAATGACATGAGGTAAGTGATATCGTACTTTGTAAATAAAAAGAATACGGTGGCATGCTGTAGTTTATGAATGAAAACGGCACGGTATCATACCTTACGTACATTGCTAATATTTAGTTTAAAAATGAACAAATTATAAAATTTGGTAGTAAAGAGAATTTGGTTTGAAGGAATTTATGGAATACAAAGATTAGTGAAATAGAAATCAAAGAAGTATGAAAATATGTAAAAAATAAAACAGAATTTACTGTTGAACAGAATTGTTGAACAAATTTATTGTTGAACAGAAAAACAGAATTTACTATGTTTCATGAATATATTTCATTGAATGACTGACGTATATGGTAACGTCAATTTGACGTATACGTGTATGAAAAACGTATATGGTAACGTCAATTTGACGTATATCATATATCATAGTAATTATAACCTTTGGCTTCATTAAAGCTTTGACATTTGCTTTGTTGTGCCTTTTAGAATTGCTTATTTATTATCACACCGTGATGATTTAGCGACAAACTGTCAAATTTTGTTAAATTCAAAAAAGAAAAAAAGGCAAAGAACCAGAAAGTATCATTGAAAATTCTCGTGGGCATTCGAGAGCTTAAAATAATAAATTTAATAAAAAATTGTAATTTCAATCAATCATTTTTTTTTAAAAAAGGATAACTAAATGGTTATAACTAGAAGCATTTTAGTAGAATAAAACAAAATAGTTACTATTCCTCAATACCGTAGAAAAAAAAAAGTTTCGATTCAGTGAATAAAATTGAGATTGTAATTAATGAAAACTAACTAAAATATCACTGAAAATAAGGAAGAAAGAATTATATAGAAATGATTAATCACAATTAATGTATTATTTATATTGAACTACAAAATGATGAATTTGCAGAAAATATATGCTTTGGAGTAAACAAAATGGTAGAAGGTTTGATTAAATTCGCATTTTCTGATTCAATACTAATCGGTAAAATTTGTGATTTTACATAATTGCTGGAATTTTTTGTAGGATTTAATGAAATAGCATTTGATATCGATGCTTTTGATATTGATGTTCTAAACATATAACAAATACTAAATTAACTTTTCTTAATTAAATCATTTATCCAATCAAAAAAAAAAAAAGAACTTTTTCATTTTATGATATAACTTATTAACGAAAAAAAAAACTTAATAGTTTTAAAATTATGTGAAAATGAACACAAAAAAAGAAATATACCAATGGAAAAGTTTTATTTTTAAGAATGATTAATTTTTAATTAATGAAGTTTTACCGTTTAATTTGTGTATCTTTTTTAGATTCCATTCTTATAGTACGATTTATAATGAAAGAAATATAAATTAGCATTAAACATGTAATTAAACAGCCAGTAGTTATTGTCAGAGAAGAAATGTTTTGATTTGTTTGAACCTGAAAATGATAAAGTTTCATTCTGTTCTCAAATAATAAACAATAAATATATACAATTGACCTTTTTGACCTTCCTCATAAGTTAATATCTAGAATTTAATTTAATCTTTAATTTAATTTATTTAAGGGTGTGAAAGATACAAAATGAGATTATACAAATAAAGTTATGTAATTTTACATTTATCATTATCAATTTTATATTTTGTTTTTGTTTTTTTTTTAATTTACTTTAAATTTAATTATATTTGAATGAATTTGACATATTTGATTATTTCATTCTTATTTACTATTTTATTATGATAATATCATTCTAAAAATTGCTCAATAACAATACTTATTGTATTATCTCTTTTGTTTGAATCAAAATTTCAATATATTTTAACTTTACTTTTATTTATTTATAAATATTTGTACATTATTCGTTTATTTAGTAATAATTTTACGAATAAATTAAGCACTGATTAAACTTTTCAAAAATTTTTGCAACAAGTTAATTGTAATGGTGTTGATAGCAAGGAACAATAATGAATAATTAAAATTATATTCAAAATAAAATTCAATTTTATTAATCAGCGCAAATTTTATAAATTTCAAATTCTTGAAGTTATAATACAAAGAGTTGTAAACATTTCAAAATTTTTATTCATTTTTTTTTTAGAATTTATTCATTTCAAAAAAAAAAAAACAAATGAAATCTGTTAATTATTATTCATAATTAATAAAACTTAAAATTTTTTGCCAGATAGATCCGTTACTTACGGTTGTCGAATTAATCAAATGTGAACATTGATCGGAATAATTGGTAAAAGCTAACTGCGCTTTAAAACACATACCTGACATTTCGGTCATATTTTTCTAAATTATTACCAAACAATGATTATTTCATGATAAAATTATTTTATAATTAATTTCTAACTAATATAATTCTTGAATTGAAACAATTAATGCAGTTTTTATTATAATTAATCATTATGCTATTTATATGAACAATAACAAATAAACAAATATGAATGTATAATAAATAAACAAATATAAAGAACAAGGAAAAAAAAAAGATAATTACTTTACCATTTGAGATAATCGAAATAGAAAAATAGTTCCAGTTGTATCACAAAGTCTTGTGAAATCATAATCAGGATCAATTCCATTAATAGTAATACTTGAAATTATCATATCAGGTGTTCCTTCACTCCAATATGATATTAAATGAGTTTTACCTGTCTTAAATTTTTATAAACTAACTAAACTTGTAAAAGTTATTTCTGAAAAAAAAAATGGTATTTCTCTTTTTTATAATAATAATAATAATAATTTCAAAAAATATAAACCTGTTGTTTATCAAAGTTAACAATTAGAGTTTTAGAGATAGTTTCATTATTGAGTATATTGATAAGACGTAATTGAAGTGTTGGTTGAATGCAGGTATTACTTAAATCACAATCATTTAACCATTTCAATTCTTCTAGCTTAACATCTGTCCAAAATTGCGCTGATAAAATATGACAAAATGTTAAAATGTACCAAAGCAAAGTACCAAATGATAATCGCATATTAATATTAATAATCTGCAATATTTATCGTTTTATTATACTAAAAAAAAAGATTAAAATAATTAATTTAAAATTAATTTTAACCTACAGAATCAATTATTTTGTTTATTTCACATTCAAAATTTTTTTCTAATCATAATTAGCAAATTATATTTATAATTATGAAAAGATACTATCAAAATGTATTAAGTCATTTGCCACCTAATTAAGTTAATGCATTTATTGATTCATTAATTAAAATAATCATTATCAAAAAATTTAATTTGATGTCAATCATTTGCTGATTAATTATAATTTTAATAAAACAATAGAATAGTTTTAATTGTTACCTGTTGTTATGCAGCATATAAGTATGTATATAGATTGTTTGTAATTATTAGACAGAGGTCACTGATTAGAGGTCATTTAGTGATCGTATCGAGTTATCATTACTTTCATGGATGATCGTGATCTCTTTCATAATATTTAAAATATTTATTATTTATCATATCACTAATTACTGTTTGATTTTAGTCAATATTTATCATATCACCAATTACTGTTTAATTTTAGTCACTATCATATCACTAATTACTGTTTGAGTTTAATCACTATCATATCACTAATTACTGTTTGAGTTTAATCACTATCATATCACTAATTACTGTTTGATTTTAATAAGATCAAAATTTTTATCCAATAACAAATTGCAAAAAAGTAATTAGCTTTTCGCTAATTTTCTAAAAATTATTTCAGAATATAAATTGTTGATTAAATTATTACTTTAATTATTAGAACAAAAAAAAAAAAGAAAAAATTAGTTTTAGAGGAGAAAATTTTCTATTTAAATTATTAACTATAAATTAATTTATAAATTTAATTTAATTCGATTACATTTCAACTTTTAGCTTCAGTTTAAAAAAAAAAAAAATGATTTATTGCTTAGCAAAATTAAAAAATTTTTTTACATTAAGTAGAATAACTTTTTAATTCTAATTCTTACATATTACAATAAAAATTACTTTTATTCCATAATTTTAAAAAATCTTCTTAGCTTAAAAGTTTTATAAATGCTAGAAACATTTGCAAAGTTAATTGAATTACTTTTATTCCATAATTTTAAAAAATTTTTTTAAGTTAAAAGTTTTATAAATGCTGGAAACATTTACAAAATTAATTGAATTACTTTGTTATACCTTTTTTTTTTTTTAATTAATAGAATCTTTTATTTCATTATTATCCTTTTTCTTTTCATTTTTCATTGATATGTAAAATATTTACAGAAATGAAACAATAAAAAATGAAGAAAATAAAAATTACACAATATAAATGCATATTTGTAGGGCGCATTTGTCACACAAACATTGCTGTACAAAAATAATATCAAAAAGTTATAATAATTTATTATATTTCAAGAAAAAAAAAATTGTTTATTCTTAAATTTATAGTAAAGAATTGTCACCAATACTAAAATTGAATATTCAATAAGCTAAAAATTTGTTTTAATTTCATTCCCATGGGTTTCTTTTTTTTTTTTTCATCTTTCCATCACCATTTTTCTGATTTTAGTCAAAATGTAATTGCGGAATAAATTTTTTTTTTTTTTTCGACAAATGAAATATTTGTTGTTGATTTTATTTTCCTTTTTTTTGCAATATTTTATCAAAATTTATTAGTCATTGTTAAAGTTTACAAAAAAGAACAAAAATCAATGTTAGCTAAAAATTTATTATTTAAACATTAAAATTTTTGAATTATTTAATTGCAACTAATTACAGATCACTTCATCATCAATCATATATTATTATTAGAATTGGACACAATTTATAAAATTACAAATTAGTTTAAAAAAAAAAAAAAAAATTTAATTAAACTGATTCTAAGCCACTATCTTCATGTTGCTCGCATAGTGATGAATTAGGTGATAGTCTTTTTGAAATTGTTGACAAAGTTCCAGTGATTGTTGTTTTTCGTGGAATATATGCTAATGAAGCTGAAGGTTGTTTTGATATTCCTGAAGCAATTATTGTTTGTTGTTTGTTATCATCAATATTTGAATTATCATTAATCCAAAATCGTTGCAAAATACAGTGTTGATCCCATGGTACATCATACCTAAAAAATACTTTTTTTTTTTGTTTTTCTAAAGTAATTTTTGTAAACAAATAAAATTGTTTACTATGCTATATTATTTTTTTTTTTTGTTAAAAAAAAAAGTAAACAAATGAAAACTAACCTGTCATCAGCATTTTTAACTGATTTTGAAAACTGTTTTGAATAAAGATATGAATTGAGATGATTGTTAGGTTGTGATCGTTTCTGTAGCAATGAAATGAAGTGACGTTGTTTACTGATAATTAGAAGTAAGCAAATTAAGCCTAGTAAGCTTATCAATAATAAACTTAGCAAAAATATTAGCAAAATTTGCTCGCCAAGAAAAAATTGCACAAATTTCTTTGCCAAACTCATTTTAGCATCATCGTCGGTTGTTTCATACTGCAAAATTATATGATTATAAAATTATAGTTGATATTCTTTTTAAGATTGTAATTGATAATTGATATTTATAAGATTGTAATTGATATATTAATTATTAAAATATTAATTATTGCACTAATATTTTATCAAATATTTGTTTAAAAAAAAAATTATTAAAATATTAATTATTGTACTAATATTTTATCAAATATTTGTTTAAAAAAAAAATTATTAAAATATTAATTATTGTACTAATATTTTAGCAATTATTAATTATGTCAAATTACAAATGATTTAATAAATTAAATTAATTCTAATTTCAAAAAAAAAAAAACGAAAACTTTTCAACATTTTTAGAAATTAAATGATAAAAAATGAGAAATATTAATAAATTACCTCAGGTGCTGCTGATTCAATAAGTGTCATATCATCTGGTACTGAACACCACGGACAATGTTTCATATATTTTCGAGCAATAAATGAAGCATTAAAACATTTGGCTCGAATTTCAACAATAAGTTTACCATTTCGTTCATTCATTGATAATTCATCTTCTGATGATTCTAACATTTGATAAGTGTTAAGTTCCTAAAAAAATTTTTTTTTAAAAAAATTTTAAAATTGCTGGCAAAAAAAAAAAAGAGAAAAGAGGAGAGAAATAACTTTGCTGTAATTATCAGCAACAAATTATAAATTTCATTTATTTCATTAGTGTATGATAAATTATAAGCAATGAATAACTTAGCTTTATGTTAAAATTTCAAACAAAGAATAATTTAATCGTACGTGAAAAATTTATCTTCACGTACGTGAAATATTTATCTTGACGATATTTTAAGGCTAAATTATATAAATATTTTAATTCGAATAATCAATTATTTTATTCATTAGTAATTAATATTGACAATAAATTTTGAAATAAGAATTTTAGAGAAAGAATTTACGCTTGATTAGCAAAATTAAGCTATGAAAATTTTAAAAAAAAAAGTGTATAAAAGTTAAAGTTCATTTTTTTCTTTCCTTTCCTTTTTTTTTAAAATATTTAAATAAATATGAAAAGCTGAAATTCATTATTTGAAAATTTTAATAAAAATGAAAGCCTGAAATTCATTATTTGAAAATTTTAATAAAAATGAAAACCTGAAATTCACTATTTGAATATTTAAATAAATATAAAAACCTGAAATTCATTGTTTGAAAATTTTAATAAAAATGAAAACCTGAAATTCATTATTTTCTTTGAATATTTCAATATTTTGTGTGGTATCACAAGTTCGTAAAAATCCATACAATGGATCCATGCCGATGACATCACATTGAAGTGTAATTTCATGTGGTTTACCATTTAACCAATGAGTAATGAATTTTCGAGAATGTCGCTGCAATTAAAATTTAATTAATTCAAAAAAAAAAAAAACTTTAAAACTTCTTCAAGTGATTTTTTTTTTGTTAAAAAATAAATATTAAATAGTTTGTTGATACTATTAGTTTACGCTTGAATTAGCAAAAAATTTTCAGAAATAATTATGCTTAATTTTGATTTTAATAAATTCAAAGCTTTCCTCTTCTTTTTCACTTTTAAAATTTAAGTTTATGATATTTTAAGTATTGCATTGATAATGAAGATAAAAATGATATAAACTTTATTCTCGTTTCTTTTTCTTTCTTTTTTTTTAACCAAAATTTTTAAAAGAAGAATTTAAAAAAAAAAAAAACGAAAATAATAAGGAAACAAATATCGGAAATGTAATCGAAAATGACAATTAAATCGGTAAATTTTTCTTAAAACATAATCATTTCAAAAATTAAAAATTTAAAAATGAGGGAAAAAAAAAGTTAGTAAACTAACCTCAACAAAATTTTCCGTAATACTCCAACTTATTGAGATAATTTCAGCATTAAATTTATTAAATTTAGAAATTCGAAAACGTGGATTTGCGCAACCACCTGTTGTCAAGCATGTTGGTCTCCAATGTACTGCTTGAAGTTCTAATTCAATCCAATAATTAATATTATTTTCCATTGTAGAAAGTATTAAATGCAATTGTGTTATTATTATTATTGCTAAATTAATTAGCATATGCATAATCATTTTGATCCTAAACAAAAATTAATCAAATTAATCAATTAATTAAGCTTAATTTATTAGCAGTGTAAAAAAAAAAGAGAGATAATGAAAATAATTATGTTAGAAAAGAAAATTCACTCTTATCAATACAAATAAAAGTTCAATAATTTTATTTACAAAAATAGTTAACGCATAATAAATATTCAAAAAGTTTAAATTAATTAAAATTTATATGGAGTAATACTTCAAGTTATTAAAATTATATAAATGTTAATTGTGACTGGGATTTTCCTTCATTTTAAGAAGTAAATTATAAATTTGAAAAAATTTCATCAAAATTTTCATTCAAAATTTTAACTGAAATTTGACACAATAACCAATAACATAATTAATAATAACTAAGTTGAATAATACAAAACAATGATGATAGTAGCAATAAATTAGAAAAATTAAAAAAGTGAATTTAAAAATTAAAATGAAATTTTAATTTTCCATATATTTTTGTAGAAATTAGGATAATTTTATATGTATGTCACATCAGTTAGAGAGGTAAAAGACTGATAGAAAGGATATCATTTTATTTTGATAAGAATTTGAAAGTTTTAATTTTATAAAAAGAATAAAAGAACCGTTGAAAAGTGATGGATGGGTATCAGATCAGATCAGATCGAATAGCTTTTTGATATTAAATGAAAAAAAAATTTTCAAATTTAGAAATGGGCGGAACTTTTCATTGAAAATGAGGAAAAAAAAGATTTTTTTTTCGTAAAATTTTTATCAAAATCTATTTCATTTCGTGTATGTTTCACTGATATTATCGCTTGTCACACACACATACACACATACACACATACACACACACACACACACACACATACATACATACATACACATGCATGTATTTCATGCATTAATGCACTTCGTTTTGTCAACAATCTGTGATATAATTTTAAGATATGAGTAAGTCACTTTTTACGGATGCTAAAATTCAGGAAAAGCTAAACTTCTTGGCTCATTTTTAATAAAAATGAGCCAAGAAGGATAAATAAGATTTAAATTAAAACAATAATTAAATTGTTGATTTTTTTCTGAATTAATACATTAAAGAATAAAAAAAAAAAAAACCAAACAAACAAATTTGTGTCCTTTAATTTCTTTTTTTTTTTTTTTTTTTGTAAACTTTCTATTTTTGATGGAAAATTTGAGTGATTGCGTTTATTATTTAATTAGCATTAAAGATATTGTAAATGTTACAATAAAAAATTTCAAAAATAAAAATTTGATAAGCAAAGAGAATTAGAATATTAAAATTAATTCTAATATATTAAAATTTATTAACATTAAAAGTATATTGAAAATATTAATATTAAAAATATTAAAATTTATTCTAAATAAAAATTTTTTTCTCTTTTTAAGAAAAAACATTATCATCTAAGTAACTATTTTTAAGCCATCTTATCATTAATCTTATCATTATCACTTATTTTTATCACCTAAGTAACTATTTTTAGGCTGTTCTTATCATTATCACTTATTTTTATCATCTAAGTAGCTATTTTTAGGCCAACCTTATCATTAATCTTATCATTATCACTTATTTTTATCATCTAAGTAGCTATTTTTAGACCAACCTTATCATTAATCTTATCATTATCATTTATTTTTATCATCTAAGTAGCTATTTTTAGGCCAACCTTATCATTAATCTTATCATTATCATTTATTTTTATCATCTAAGTAGCTATTTTTAGGCCAACCTTATCATTAATCTTATCATTATCATTTATTTTTATCATCTAAGTAGCTATTTTTAGGCCAACCTTATCATTAATCTTATCATTATCATTTATTTTTATCATCTAAGTAGCTATTTTTAGGCCAACCTTATCATTAATCTTATCATTATCATTTATTTTTATCATCTAAGTAGCTATTTTTAGGCCAACCTTATCATTAATCTTATCATTATCATTTATTTTTATCATCTAAGTAGCTATTTTTAGGCCAACCTTATCATTAATCTTATCATTATCATTTATTTTTATCACCTAAGTAGCTATTTTCAGGCCAACCTTATCATTAATCTTATCATTATCATTTATTTTTATCATCTAAGTAGCTATTTTTAGGCCAACCTTATCATTAATCTTATCATTATCATTTATTTTTATCATCTAAGTAACTATTTTTAGGCTAATCTTATCATTATCACTTATTTAAAATAAAATTATCGAGAATTAACAAGTGAAAATAGTGTTAATGAATTCTAAAACTGTCAGATAGCATTAGCTCACATAAATGAATCAGAAGTGGGATATTGTTGAGTTGATCAATTCATTCATTATTATATTACTCATTTCGGTTTCCTTTGGGTATTATCAAGCATTTAACCTCTCTCTCTCTCTCTCCTTCTCTCTCACTCTTTTGGCTTTTACTTTACTTTTGAGCCTAATGTGCTGTAAAATTTGTACTCAGCCAATAAAGTAATGATGGCCAAACTGGCCTGGCAACCATACAAATTTCAAGATTCTATCAGTTAAAATTAATCATTGCCGCGTGTTATTCAAGCATTTCTGTTGCTAATCCCAATGGAATCAAAATTTTGTGCACAATCAGATGAAATGCATCAATTCATTATAATATTATTTAATTTTATCAATTTTTGTTGAAATTTTTTTTTTTTTAATTTAAAATTTTATGTCTTCGAAAAAGTGAGAAAAAGCAAAATTACTAAATAATTAATTTAAAATGAAAAAATTAAAATTAACTATTTGAAATCTCAAATCGGTTAAGAATATCTTTTATTGTATTTCATTTTTAATTAAAATAATTTTAGTTATTTTTTTATTTGTTATAAAAATAAAAATAAATTTTTGTTTAAAATTTTATTTTTATTAAAATTAACAAGAAATGAGCAAAAAAAAAAAAATCATAACATACTCTCTCTCTTCCTCTCTCTCTCTCTCGCTCTCTCTCAAGAAACTATCATTTTATTTGCAAAAAAAAAGAGGAAAGCATGCAATTTTAGCAATTTTAATTTATTTAAAAAAAATGATCTTTTAAAAAAAAAGGATTTTTGTCTTTTTTTTTTTTTTTTGAAATATTTATTTTATTTTTCTTTTTTTTAAAAAATAATTATTTAATATAAAATAATTATTTAATTGTTTATTCGTATTTTGAAGAATATTCTTTTTTTTTAACTTATATACAGTGTCATTTCTTATCAAATTAATCAAAATTTTGGAAATTTTCTTTAAATAATTGTTTTAGATTTTAATTAAATATTTGTAAAAATAGTATTTGATTCTTGATCTCGAAAAATTTTTCAACACAAGTTATATATTTCGAATAATTAAACAACAAAAATGTTAAATTTATTTCAAGAAATCGTTTTACAAATTTTTTGATATTAAAGGATTCAAATTCTTTCTAGCATTTAATAATTACTTTTAAAAACAAACTAACTTTAACTTCTAATAATGATTAATAATTCCTACTTTTGTTACAAAAATAAATTAAAATAAAATTTTTGCTCAATATGCTTACAATTTTATAGCCATTATTATCATCAGAATTAAAAAAAAAAAAGAAAAATTAATACAAAAATTGGTTAAAATTATTTATTTTTGCAATAAAAATTAATTATTTAATTTTATTTACTCAAATTTATCGATTAGTCGGATAAAATAAACAAACGACAAATAAATAAATTCATTTCAATTAATGCAAGATTAACTTTACCAATAATTAGAGCAATTAGCAATTATAATTTAAGTTGAAATAAAAGTTTTTTTTTTAAATATATAACAAAATATTTTTTTTTCTTTAAAAGCTTAAGTAATACTATATTTTATTCTATGATAGTTTAGTTTAGATGTGTTGATTAAAGCTTAATGGAAAAGTACTTTGAATTTTATGCTTCATCGAATAGCAAATGAATAAGCATATGATTTTACTTTCAATACCTTTAACGGTTGATAGCCTTTCTTTGATGTGTGATTCAATTTTTGAATATTCCTTTTAAATGTTGAAAGGATAATTGACTTTTAGCAGTTAGGTAAATCTCAAAAAAAAAAAAAAAAATTTAAAATTGATAATTTAGAACCAATTTCCTTCTTTAATGTAAAAAAAAACTATTACAAATTTTAAGATTTTTAAAAAAAAATTCAAAATTTAAATTTGAAATAAAATTTAATTTTATTTTTTAAATTGAATTTAAACCATGATTAATTGAAAGTTTTATTAATTTTGCTGATGAAATTTTAATTTAACTCAATGATACATCCTTTCCTTCCTGATATAACTGAAAAAATAACTGAAATTCATTTCATATTTTATCAAACATTTATTGAAATTAGAGGATTTTTTAAAAAAAAAAATTAGTTTAAGAATTAAAATAAATTAATTACAATGTTTTTTTTTTTTTGTGATAATTAGAGCTTCAAATAATGCTTTATTAGCAATTTATTGATGCTAATAAAGGAAAAAAAAATTTGATATTTGTTTATGAGAGCACTTTTATTTATTTGAATAATATTAATAATAAAATTCAATATGAACAAAAAAAATTGATTCTATTTGTTTGCATTTAATTTTTCCATTTCTCTTATATTAAAATTGCTATGACATTAATGTTTGCAATTTATTTTTTAATTAAATTTCTCTTTTACAAATTTTAATTTCTTTTTTTTAGTAAAATATCAAAGATATTTTTTTTTTTGGCAAAAGAAAAAAATTAATTTAATGCAATTATCAAAATTTTAATTTTTATATTAAAATGGTTATCTAATAGAAGAAAAAAAAAAAGAAAATCGAAGAGAATAATATTGCATTTAAGAATTTTTTTAAAAATTTTTAAATTGTTTTTTGCTGAAAATTAAATTTAGCATATTGTTGTTTAAAAATTAAACTATTTCTAATTGCTCTTAATTCTAGCCAAATACCATTCATTGTTGGTCGTTCACTTACGTCCGTACGCCAACAACGTCTCATTAATTTCAGTACATTTCGAGGTAATTTAATATCACGTATTTCTGAAATTTCTTTGTATTTTTTTTATTAACTATTATTTATCAAAAATTTTTCAAAAATCAAAAAATTTTATTTTTCAAAAAAATAAGAGTTTTTTTTTTTTTTTTTATTTAGCTAATACTGTTAACAGTTATTTGTTATCATAAATGCAATAAATGATTTAAAATTATGCAAGAAATTAAATTTAAAATTTCAATAGCAAATTTAATAGTGTATTTTTTAATCTTTTAAATAAAAAAAAGATGTTATAGTGAAGTGATAAAATTGATAATTGATAATCTACTAACCAGGTCGTATTCTATGTCCAGCTATCAGTTTACTTTGTATCTCTTCCACACTCATCGAGAAATACGGTAAATTTCCGGTGAAAATTTCATAAAGTGTAATGCCAAATGCAAACACATCGGTACATTCTGTTAATTGTTTCGTTTTAAATACTTCCGGTGCAAGCCAACGAATATTTCTCAATTTTTTAGGTTTTACTTCTTTGATTCTTAAAAAAAATCTTTTTCTCTTTCTTTTTTTTTTTTTCAAAATTTAATAAAAAAAAAAATTCTCTACTAATAAACATATCATTTATATAATTTAATCTGACATTAATACAAAAATTTCTTTAAAAAAAAAAAAAAATTGTAAAAAATTAAATTATTACTTACTTTCCAATATGAGAGTCACGAAAGTCACCCAAATAATATTTATAGCAATATGATGACGAATAACTCTTGACCTTTGAACTAGTAATTAGTTCTTTTCTTACAAATATATTTCTAGCTCCAATGTTACAATGCAATAATCCCAGAAAATGCATATCAGATAAAGCATGCGCAATTGTCTGTGCTGCCTAAATGAGACATTAGCGCATATTCATTTAATATTTATATTAATAATAAATAAACCTAAGTTTAAGGTTAAAGAATATCTCATCAGAATATACTTACTTCTATCTTATTTTTAAAACTAAGACTTTGTCCCATACGCTGCGCAAAATTTTGATATGAGCCACAGTTCATGAATGGATAAATGATCATATACGGTGATTGAAATATTTGTACACATTGCGCCGCTACAATCGATTCAATGGCTGTGAATCGTCGTAATACATTTGAAATATGCAACTCCTAAAATTAGAAATTAAATTTGAATTCAATTTGAATTAAATTAAATTAAATCAGAAATTATTTGATAATATTAAATCATTATAATTTAATGTCATAATTTTTTTCTTTTTTTTTTTTTTTAATATCATAAAATTTTATTTTTGAAAATTTGTTTTGCATTTGTTGAAATAAAAATTTTTTTTGCACTTCAAAAATTAAAATTTTATTTTTTTACCTGACAAATTTTATTGAGTTCATTATGATTGTATTTATGCATTATTTTAATTATCACTTGTTCACATTTGTTTCTTGTAAATAATCTACCAACAAAACACTATAATTATTAATCTTTTTTTTAAAAAAAAAATTGCGTCAAATTTTTTAAAATATTTTTGAAAAAATTTTTACGAAAATTAAATGAAAAAAAAAAGGAAAAATTATTTAATCAAAGATTAAAATTCAACAAAATGGAATTATTAATTACAAAAAAGAAAAAAAAACATTCGTTGAGTTTTATTTAAAAAGAACGAATAGTTTTTGAAAATTTTAATCAAGATATTCTCAATTTAAAATTTAAAATAATTAAAATGTAAATATATTTTGAAAAGAATTCAAAATTTTTATTTTATTTATAATTTTATTAGCCAAATAATAATAATAGTATCAATGATTATTGTAGTAAATATTGCTGTTTTTTTTTTTTTTTTTTTGTTTAAAGAAATAATTAATTAATTGCAAAATCAAAAAATCCGATTGATAATAATTTATCTGAAAAACTTTTTCCTTTTTTTGAAAAAGTTTAAAAATGATTGTTTTGTTTAAATTAGATAATAATTTAGTTTAACTTATAGGAAATACATAAATTAGCACTAATTTTTGAAAAATATAAAAAACTTTTCCAAAAATAATTTAAATAAATGATTAATTAATTAAATTTTTTTTTTTAAATATCAAAAATTTAATTACATCAGCAATTTTTCCTCTTGCAATAAGATTATCTTTTTTGATAATATCATTTTCATTTAGGAATAATCCAATTATATTATAATCACTCTTATCATTGATATTTGGATTGATAAAATGACGTAATATTACGTTTGTTTGTAATATTGCTGATAAGATATTCATCTGAAAAACTTTTTTTTTTTTTTTGAAAAAAGTTTTAAAATGATTGTTTTGTTTAAATTAGATAATAATTTAGTTTAACTTACAGGACTTTGAATACATTTGTGAATTAATCCAGCTAAAGAAGTAGCTAATGGATAGATGGCATTTTCAAAACTGTATATTCCATCAAATTTGATAATTGATAAATGATATATTTGATAATTTTCAGACATTAATGAAAAGCGGAAATTATCATTGTGTGTACGAGAAATCATATAATCACCTAAAAAAAAAATTAAAAATTTTATAATAATTTATGAATTTTTTTTTTGCATAGTAATTTTTTTTCTCAAATTTGATTACAAATTTCAGATTTTTCATTTCTGATTTTTTTTTTTTGGTTGTAAAAAGAGAAAAGTTTATTTATTCATTTTATGTTTACTACCTGATTTTTTGAGTAATCTCTTTTCGATGAAAATTTCAGAAAGTCGTCCAAAATAATTTTCTTCTCTTAATTCTAATTCATTATCACAACAGTCATTTTTTTCATTCTAAATATTTAATGTTAATTAATTAATCAGCAACTGCACTTTTTTTTTTGTTTTAATTATTTACTTCTATAAAAGTTCATACCTGTTTGTGAAGTAAATAATTAAAGGTAACATAGGTGTCGTAAGTATTATTAAGGATAATAAAAATGGATTTAGGAAGGGAGAGAGTATCTCTGATTCTGCTTTTCCGCAGAGAAAGTATCTGATTCTGATTTTCCGCGGAGAAAATGTCTGATTCTGATTCTCCGCAACTAGTGTATCTGATTCTGATTCTCCGCAACTAGTGTACCTGGTTCTGATTCTCCGCAACTAATGTATCTGATTCTGATTCTCCGCAACTAATGTATCTGATTCTGATTCTCCGCAACTAGTGTATCTGATTCTGATCTGATTCTGATTCTCCACAACTAGTGTATCTGATTCTGATTCTCCGCAACCAGTGTATCTGATTCTGATTCTCCGCAACTAGTGTATCTGATTCAGATTCCCCGCAACGAGTGTATCTGATTCAGATTTTCTCACATTCATTAATTAATTATTAAATAATGTGAATGAAATTTATTAAATTGACCATCATAGGATGCATTTCGATTCCCAAATTGGCAATTAATTGTTGAAGTTTCTGCACTTTGTCATCAAAAATAATTTCAGAAGAACTGCTACTCTTTCTTGCTTTTTTCTCTTCATTAGCTTGAATTTCTGATTTTGTCATCAAAAAATTTTGCTAAAATTTAACACATAATTTAGTAAATATAAATGATAGAATTATTACTGCAAACATTGATTGCAATCAATAAGAATTAATTATAGATTTTTCTAGAAATTATTTAGTGCCTTATATGAGTGATATTACATATATCAGTTAATCAATTTACTGATAACAACACTTAGTACTACCATTTCTATTTTAATTGTTATCACTGATTATCGAAGCTATTTATCATAAATGTATGATTTGTAAACAATGAATAATTGCAATTGAATTAACACTTTTTAAATACGATTGATAAACAAAAAATTTGAATTTTTTTTTTGTTTAAAAACTGCAATTTAAAAAAAAATTTAATTATAATTCAATTATTTAATTGTGAGATTGGTCGTACGAATAAGTACATGGTAAAATATAAAATTAATATTATTTTTCCTTTTTTTTTTAAAAATTATTCTCATTGTTCTTATTGTTATTGACATTCTTATTGTTCTTGAAACTATTGTTTAGCTTTAAAATAATCATATAAAATTAAAAAGTTAAATTGATTAAGCTCTTATTGTTCTTGAAACTATTGTTTAGCTTTAAAATAATCATATAAAATTAAAATTGATGAGTTAATTTTTAATTGATTAAGTTTAGTAATTATATCAATTAAAAATTGCATTGATTTTTTTTAAGTGAAAAAAAAACAAAAAAATTTTTTTTTAATAAAATATAATATTATTTCGTTTTGAAATTTTTTGTTATTTATTTTACTAATTTTCAATCATTTTTTTTTTTAAGGTTGACATTCTTGATTGCTATCAAAAGAGTGCAAAAAAAGAAAGCGAGAAATAATAATTAAATTTATATCAAATATCGTTGCACAAACAATAACAATCTGATAATGATAGCAATTGATAACGCTTATGGTACAATAATTTTGATAAATTTATATACTATTTTAATTCTTGTATCATTAATTGATATTTTAATAGTATTGCATATTTCGTTGAAAATTCGACTAATGCGCTTTATGCAACGAAATATACAAGTAATGTAATTTTGCGCTTCATTTTTTCATAATAGCTTAATCAAATTTTAAACAGTTAATAAAAACTAAAATTTAATATTTCTATAGCAAATACTTTCTTTTATTCTCTCTCTCTCTCTCTTTCTCTCCTTCCCTCTTTCTCAAATAATTCTCGAAAATAAATTTATTAATTTTGATTGATAATGATAAGAGAGAGAGAGAGAGAGAGGTTGACAGAAAAAAAAAGAAAGAAAAATCTTTCAATTTTTTTATTAATTGATTCATTTTATTGTCTTTTTTATTTTATTTTTGATTCGATTTGTATAATTTATTTTTCAAAAATTTTTTGTTTCATTTTTTTTTAATTCTAATAAAAATTTATTTTTTTGCTGTTCAAAGTTAAAATAAATTGTTTGTTTGTGATATTTTTGATAAAAAAAAAGCCTTTTTGCATAGTTTTCATTTGCTTTTTTTTCTACTTTTATATTTGTTTATATTAGAAATAATAATTAAAAAAAATTTTTTTAATTTTAATATATTAACAAAAAAAAAAAAGAAAAGAAAAAGAAAAAACTTTTGAGAGAAAATTAATTTTTTTTTCTTTTGTTTATATTGAATTATTGATTTTTTCAGAATTTGAACATTTTAAATTTTCGATTGTTTTATTTCATTTCGTTATAGTTAAAAAAAGAAAAAAAAAACAAATATTAGCAAACATAAATTTGCATTCGACTAATTTAAAATTATAATTTTTTTAAAAAAATTTAACCCAAAAAAAAAAATTTTTTTCTAAGTTTTATCATTTATTCATAGAAATATTTATGCTAACTTTTTGATTATCATAAATATTTATTTTAGAAAGACTTTAATTAAGTTTTACTTATTATTCAGTTTCCTGAAAAAGAAAAAACAATTTTTTTTAAAATTAAATTTCATCTTTTTTTTTTTATTTCAAATATTTGCCATCTAATCATTTCAATACAAAACACAAAATTAATTTGTATTTACTAAAATAACAAAATGAAAAAAAGAGAAAGAAAAAATTGCATAAATTTAAATAAAATATTAAATATGAAATTAGCAAATAGTTAAATCGCAGTGTGTAATATTTAGAGCAAAAAATACAACAATAATTTATAAATATATTTCAAATTTATTTCATTTATGGTTCGAATGTCTTATTATTTCCGTTATCTGAAATATTAGACTATCTTTTTATACTTAAGTAATTTAGTAATTTATATTCTTTTAATTTCAATTATAAGTATTTATATTCTAACTTTATCAGTATCATCATCATCTCAGTTTACTGTACTTTGTTATTAACTTAACTCTAAAATATTTATGTCTTAATTAATCAATTCATCTCTTCTCCCTTTTTTTTTAATTGAAAAAATAAATTAATCATTCTCTTTTTGTTTTTGATTCAAAAATTAAATTGTTTAAATTATTAACAAATTTTCATAAAAAAATTTTTTCATAATTTAAACATCCGAACCAAAAAAAAAATCAAAAATTATAAATAAAATTGTATTATCAATTTAAATCATTTCTAAGTGTAAAATTTTCTTTGGCAATTTTAATAATTTATAAATAATAAGCTTATTTTGAAAAGCTAAAAAATGAAAGATGAATGGAAGAAAGATAGAACAATAATTTTTCAATTAATGCAACAAAATATATAATTAATTTTTTACAATTTTAAATTTTTTTCAAAAGAACCAAAAAAAAGAAGAAATTTTTTTAATAAAATTTCTTCTTAAAAAAAAAAAAAAACGAATGAAATGAAAGCGATGTTTTAAAAAGATAAATTTACTTTAGCAAAAAAAAAATTTGATTAATTCTTTATAATGAAACTTACATTTAAACAAACATGCACAAATATTATTTTTAAAGCTTTTAAGCTCATTTTTTCTTTGAAATATGCTAAAATTAAATATCAAAAAAAAATTTTTTTTTTCTCACTTATTTATTCAACAATTTTTTTCTTTTTTTTTTGCTCTTTTTTATATTTCACAATAGTAAATTAAATTAATGCAAAAAGCAAAAAAAAAAAAAGTAAAAATAAAAAATAGCTAAAAGTAAAAAATATTTTATGAAAAGTTTACAAAATGTAAAAAAGAAAGAGATTTCCATGAAAAGAAGAAATGAATAATAATAATAATAATCCTAAAATTAAAATTATATTTCGATAGGTTCTGATTTAGGCCTATTTAGGCTTTGAAAGGTATAATGTTGATACCTTCGACAACCCATTATACAGGCAAATAATAATGCAACAGTGGCAGACAGAAGTAAAATGATAAGAATGGTGATAACAATACGATTGATACCATCAACGGTACTTTGAATACGTCTTGTGGTATCATAATTATCATAAATCATTCCCAGGAAACCATTGATAAATGCTTTCTGCTCTTCACGTGAATACGAATCAAAACGTGACATAATTGCACGTACCTGAGAACGTGATAATTGCCCCGTGATGATAACCTATAATTTAAATATTCAATTTTCTTTTTTTTTTGTTTAATATTTTTATAAAAATTCAATTCATTTAAAAAAAAAAGAAAAAATTTTTTTTTCTAATATAATAAAATTGATAAAATTTTTAAGCAAATCATTTTATCAATTATTCAGAAGAAAAAAATTTCATTTTATTTAATTTAAATATAAAAATTTTTTTTTAAAAAAAATTTTATTTTCTTTTGATAATATAAAATGTTTTATTTCTATAATAAATGATAAAACGAAAATGATGAAAAAAAAAAGAAATGAAAAAGAAAAAGAAGAATAACAAATTTTTACATTTATTGAAATTAATTTAATGTTTCTGATAATTTCTGATATTTTTTTTTTTTGTTTTGTTTTACTGGTGAATATGATAATTTTATAAGTGAGAAATTAGGTAATTATCATTATTGATTTTTAATTTAATTTATCACTTTTAATTTTTTAATTTTTACATTTGTCATCGATTGATCAACTATAGCTCAGCAATGGATATGAGAAATGAAATAATCATTAAAAAATTAAAATGAAATATAAATTTAAAAATTAGACAATAATAATGAGTAATAGATAATGTTTCTTTCAATTTCAGAATATTTGTTATCTTTTTTAATTTTTTTTTTAAGAATAACTTTTGCTGTAATTAATAAACTAATGTATTATTATTATTATTACTATTGTCATTATTATTATTATCATCATTATTATTATCATTATTATTACTATTATCATCATTATTATTATCACTATTATTATTATTGTTATTATCATTCCTATTATTATTATTATTATTAATATTATTATTACCATTGTCATTATTATTATCATCATCATTATTATTATTATCGTTATTATTATTATTATCATTATTATTATTACAAATCAGTTTCTTTCACAAAATCACTAATTACTGAAATGATAGCCTTATTTCTGATAATAATTTACAATTGCATTTAAAAGATTTGTTTATCCTTTTTTCTTCTGCATAATCAATTATTTTTGAGACTGATAAAGTTTCTTTTTTTTGTAAATTATTTTTTAGTTATTAAACTGATAAAATAATTTCAAACACTAATATCCAAAAGTTATCAGTTAAATTTAGCGTTTTGATAAATTTGAATTAGCTTCTAAGTTAAATGAAATCAGTTGCTTGCTAATAATATTGAATTATCATCAAACTTACTTAACCTTATGACCTCATTAATTAGAGTTTAGAGTTTATTATTATAAAAATCATTGCGATTCTTCAAGGAATATGTACAAATGATAGCTATAAAAATAATACTTTTAATTTGATGCTAATTAATCAATTCAATATTTACAAAAAGTTCGAAGTGAAACTTTGATTTGACAATAATTAAAGACTAATTAAAAGCTGTGAATAGTTAAATTGAAATAATAAATTAATTTTACTTTTTAATTTTACGTTGAAAATTTTTTTTTTGCTTTAAATTTATGAAATTTTGCAATTCTTTTT